TTCGTCTACATTGTTGAATGAATCAATACTTTGTTCTTTTTTATTGCAAAGTGGTATTCCACTGTATGGATGTACCACAATTTGTTTATCTATTTGCTGGCTGAGGGACATCTGACTTTATAGTGACTTTTTTGTAAAAAAAAATTTAAAAATATTTTAATGGGTGAAAGTGCCTCAGTTGTTTTTTCTTTTTTTTTTAAGTTAGAATTTTTTTGTTTCATGTTTCAGTTTTCAGTATTTTCCTAAAAAGTCTTAAAGTTTAACCTTTCACATTTAGGCTGTAATACATTTGAAATATTCCTGTGTATGTGCTGAAGTAGAGCTCCAATCATATTTTTCGCATATGAAAAATCAATTGTTCCAGTATTAATTATTGAATAGTCCATCTTTTCTCTACTAATTTATTATACCACTTATGCCATTTGACAAATTTCCATGTATGTGTGGAAGTTTGTCTCCATCCTATAGTATATCCTATAGCTCGTTATTTGGTTTATATGCTTCTATACCAGCACTGTACAGTCTTAATATTAAACTAAAGTCTTGGATATTGTTGACTATTTGCTTTGCTGTATGAATTTTAAGATCAACTTGTTAAGCTGCATGAAGAACCTCAGGGGCATTTTGATTGGAATTCCACTGAATTTTACAGATTATCTGGGGTCAGAATCGTCTTTATGTTGTATATTCTTCCCAGCCATAAGCAGATATTTGTCTTTATTTTCATCACATGCTCATTTATGTCCTTCAATAATGCTTGGTAATTTTTTCTCAAATATATTGCACGTGTTTTGCTTATAATCAGTGAAGAATCTAATACAAATTTGTCCAGAGAAGAGAAAATAGAAAAATCCACCTAACTCATTTTTTAAGACTAGAATAACTTTGGTACAAGTCAAGGGCAGTCCAAAAGAAAAAAAAAAAGTCACAGACTATTCAGTATAGGTGTAAAAGTCTTAAATCAAAAATACTAGCAAACAATACAATAGTGTATATTTTTAAATTATTACCAATTTCTTCAATGACCTATAAGGACCTATTATGAAAAGTAATACATCAGTCTTCTTAGATTAAAAAACCACATGCTTATTTCAGCTGATGTACATTTAAGTTGCTTCCAGTTTTTCACTGTTATAAACAATGCTGTAGTCATCAGTCTTGTATATACATTGTCCCATTATTTCCTTACAAAGAATTCCCATAAGTAAGTATATGCACATTTAAAATTCTGATATATTGTTAAAATACCAAAGTCAGCAAACGTTTTTTGTGAAGGACCAGATAGTAAATATTACAGGCATGAGGTCCAAGAGACAAAACTGAGGTTATTATGCCATGAGTCTGAATCAACTCAATGGCAACGGGTTTATATAATGAGAAAACAAATTTTCATAAATTTTTATGGATAGAATTAAAAATATGACAATAATTGAGTAGAATTTTTTGTAATAATGCAAAAAATGACTTTTTTTGGGGGGGAGGAATAACATTTCACTTAACTGAGGTTCAGAGTTGGTGTTCCCTGTCATCAAAATCTATTGTAAATGCTCTGTTAATGCTTATCCATAATGAGAGTTTTTCATCCTCGCAAATGTCGTTTCACATAGATGGCTGTTGTTAGTTGCCGTCGACTCAGCTCCGACTCATGCCAACCTTATGCATAACATAAAGAAACACTGCCCAGTCCTTCACTCTCTGCATGATTGTTGCTATGTTTGAGTCCATTGTTAACGGCCACCATGTCAATCCATCTCATTGAGGGTTTTCCTTGGCCCTCTGCTTTACTAAACATGATGTCCTTTGCTAGCGATTGATCTTTCCTGACGACATGTACTAAGTGAGCTGAAGTCTTGCCATCTTCACTTCTAAGGAGCATTCCTATTGTATTTCTCCTGAGACTGATTTCTTCATTCTTCTGGCAGTCCACAGTGTAAAGTCATGGCACCATACAAAGTCCATTTGGGCAACATCCAGTCGCACATATGTCCATGGTCATGGTCCCATAAGGTTATAATAGAGTTCAGAAATCCCTATTGGAAAACAGGATATAGCGGACATAACCAGACACAGCAAACACAACAGCTTGTGCACGCAACATGAATATCTCATGTCTCTTGTATACAAAGTGGATGTGCTGCCAGGTGTATAATGGTACAGTATTTATATACCCTATAATACATATGTCTTGATAGTCATAATAAACGCCTGTTACTGGCTTATGTATGTACTGTATACTTTCTGTTGTTATTTTAACGTGAACTTTCCCTACTTACAAATAAAAAATTTACTGTATGACATTGTATGCTTTGACTCGTAGGCAGCAGCATGAGATCTTGTGTATCGCATGTCTCTTGAGTGTTGTAGCGGTCTCTGTTTAATTTTCTTTTGTGAAGTGCATCATGGCTCCCAAACATAGCAAAACTAGTGCTAGTGATAGCAGCAGCAAGAGACAAAAGTGAAGTATCAATTTGGAAGTGAAACAAAAGGTATCCCATATAACTTTGCTAAGTGTATAATATGGTGTTTGCACAATGTCCAAATCACATAACATCCTATTTCACAGACCATATCATGGATGTTAAGCGATTCATGACTGTATTCAGTATTCTTCACTGACACCACAGTTCAAAAGCATCAATTCTTCTTCTGTCTTCCTTTTTCACTGTCCAGCTTTCACATGGATATGAGGTGACTGAAAAGACCATGGCATGGGTCAGATGCACCTTAGCTGTCACAGTGACTTTTTTGCTTTTTAAAATTTTAAAGAGGCCTTTCCAACAGATTTACCCAATGCAAAAAAAAAGACATATTTCACAGATAGGTAGTGCCAAATACATCATCCATATTCATACAGTTTTAATTGAGCCTATTCATTGTTTAGAAGTCATTTTTATAATTCTGTTAGACTCATGATATTTGCCTTTCAGCATACAATTTCATTGCAAATTAATCACTTCCAATTTGAAACAGTTAAATGAATTTTGAAATACAGAAATTTCCTTTGCACTGGCATTGAGGTCTAAAACCACTGCTGGAAGCGTAGTTTGAAATCAAAAAATACTTCACTGAGAATTTGTGTAGCTCTCACTTCTTTTTTACCTTTTGACAACACAGGAAGTGTATAATGCAGCCTGACATTACTTGTAATTCAAACAATGTTAGTTTTCACTGAAATGACTTTATCACAGTATAAGTTTCACATATATGCATTGTTTTGCCTTATAATTTTGGTTAAATTACTAAAGAAATATTTTCAAGTGTGCAGCAAAAGCAAAGTTCAAAGTCATTCAGTGTTCAGTAACAGTTGTTGAACACAGTTCTTTCAGCCATTTAAAAAATGTAAAACCCATCCTTATCTTGGGGCTGTATAAAAACTGGCATCGGGCTAGGTTTGGCCACGGGCCCTAATTCATCAACCCTTGCTGTATAGTCCTAACCAATTACACATTCCCAGTGAGTGTAAGTGCCTGTTTCTCCCCAACCTTACAGCCAGTGAGTACTATTAACTTTTAAAAACTACATTGTTTCAACTTGCATTTCTCTGAATATTAATGAGGTAAAATATCTTTTCATGATAATAAGCCATTTATATTCCTTCATTATAAATTGGCTGTTCATATTTTTCCATTTGTATTGCCTTAAAAATTTTCATTCCAACAATCACTCTGTGTACCAAAAAGAGTTCTAAGTCCTTTTTAGTGGCTAACCTACCTGTCCAGTATTATTTTCCACTGCTTTCTCCCGCATGTCCAACACTTCTTCCATATTAAAAGGCCTGCCACTCCCTGCAGGACTGTTTTTTCAAGCTTGTCTGCATATATAGATGTCAGTCTCTGTCTGGAATGCCCTTCCCCCACTTATCCTCCTCATGTAACTCTTATTTATCCTTCAAGACTCAGTCCAAGCATCAGTTCCCCCTTTGACTCTACAGCACTCTGTGCATAATCTGCTGTGAAACCTATCACGCCATTGGTAATTAACTGTTGGTTTACCATGATCTGTCTACCTACTAGGCTCAAAGCCTGTTATGATCTTTACACCTAGAACAGTGCCCAACACTTGCTGTTATTAGTTGCCATTAAGTCGGCTCCGACTGTTGGTGACCCCATGTACAATAGAACAAAATGCTGTCTGGTCCTGTGCCGTCTTCACAGTTGTTCGTATGCTTGAATGCACTGTTGCAGCCACTGTGTATTTTGAGTTATTTCCAGCCTACGGGTCTGGCTCATCTTCCAGCACTATATTGGACACTATTCTGTTATGATCCGTAGAGTTTCCATTGCTAGTTTTCAGAAGCAGATCACCAGGCCTTTCTTCCTAGTTGTCTTAGTCTGGAAGCCCAGCACTGAGTAGGCACTAACTATTTATTGGTAAAATTAGTTCAAAATAGTAGTAGTGATAGTAGTATTAACAAATAAAGTAATATCTGGCAGACATAAATACCAGAGACAAATCTGCATAGTATTCTCTGGATAGGTTTAGCATAATGTAAGATAAAATTCATTTGAAGAACCTTACTCAAATAAAATTTCACTAAAGAAAATAGCAATTAAGGTTTTCATTTTCTGATAAAAACAAGTATGGTAAATATTTTATTAAAAGCTTATATTTTTCCCTAATGGCCTAAAATAATTTATTTAAATAAGTGCCTTTAGTTACAGCTGTGATCTTCAATTCACAAAAATTTTCTTGTACTAGGAAAAAAACTAAGAATATTAAAATAGCAAACCCAAACCATACTCACTGCCATCAAGTCAATTCTGACTCATAGTGACCCTAAAGGACAGAGCAGAACTGCCCCATAGGGTTTCCAAAGCTGTAAATCTTTATGGAAGCAGACTGTCACATCTTTGTCCTGCAGAGAATATTAAAATACAAAAAAGAATTTTCATCTGCCCTGTTCTGTAATCTGAACAGTGTTTCTTTTTTTCAAAATCTCTCTTGTAACTCAATGAAGATTCATTTTGGATTAATCTTTTATTTTGCTTTTATTTCCAAAGGACATCCATTACCTTGCCCTAGATAAGGGTGAACTGGCACTAGCTGAAGTGGCAAGGAAAAGAGCTAGTGACATTGATACAGAATCAATAACCTCTGGAGTTGGTAAGAATTAATGCTGGGTTTTTTTAAAGTGCTTTTTGTTTTAATCAATACTTATTCAGTATCATTTCTCTTTGTTTGTAGGGCATGGTTGGTTAATTTGAATTACTTCTTTGTAAAGACAGAGTGTCTTTTTTTTTCTTTTTTAAAAAAAAAAAAAAGAACAATTAAGCCTTGACAAATAGTACAATATGAATATACAAGTTGGAATTCTATTAATGTGAAAATTGATAATCAGTAGTTAGTTTCATCACCATTTAGCAAAAAGAAAAAAGGACATTGTTCTGTTCATAAGATATAGGGTCAAGAGTTTATTATCATCAGCACTGTAATTAAAATTAACTAACACAGGAACTTATATAGCTCTTTATTTATACACACAAACGTCATATTTCAAAAGAATTTTTTTCATATCAGACAAAGGACTTCACATGGAATTTGAGGTTTGGTGGGTGATTTGCTTCTGTTTAGAAGCCACTAGAATCCTTTTTGGCCTAGGAAACCCTATGGGGCAGTTTTCCTCTGTCACATGGGGTTGCTGTGAGTCAGAATCGACTCAAGGGCACACAACAACAACAACAGAGTCATTTTAGTGTGTAGTCTTCCAAAGAAGACAAATTAAAAGCCCAGGTTGAATTTAAAGGTCCATTTAAAACTTTAAAATATAGAAAAATTAATGTTTTTCTCAATACTGTGATATCAACATAAGCTTCCTTTTTCTGAACTCAATAACCTAATGTCACTAAACCTGGTAGTATTGATACCTGGATATCATAATTCCCATTCCTCCTGGTATTTCCTATTTCTAGACCAGGCAAAAGACCTTCAGAATTGTAACTGAGTTCATTTCTCTGTGGAACTCCTGTGAAACAAAGAAGTTTTAATAGTATTTCCACTTAAGTTGCTTGAAATTATTATACTGAGCCTCTCCATTGATAGATCATCTTGTGCTGTGTTTTTATAATACTATTTGCAGCCAAAGGGATCAACTGTCAGCCTCTCTCTCTAACATTTACCATCAGAGAGCCCAGTCTTAAAGGTGGTACTGTAGGACTCAGAGCCAGTCTACCAGGGCTGCTCTACAGCTCAATGCCAGGGCTGACAGTTACCAGGAAGATAATTCCATTCTCTTTCCCCCACCCCAAGAGAATTCCACATTGACTGAACCCAAGAGGTGCATAGACCACTTTCAAATCTCTATCCCTAATGGATAAGGAATATTCATTGTCTTGGTCATCTAGTGCTGGCTGCTATAACAGAAGTACCATAAGTGGGTAGCTTTAACAAACAGAAGTTTATTTTCTCACAGTTTAGGAGGCTAGACGTCTGAATTCAGGGCGCTGGCTCTAAGGGAAGGTGTTCTCTCTCTGTCGACTCTGGAGGAAGATCTTTGTCTCTTTTGAGCTTCTGTTCCCGGGCAATCTTCATGTGGCTTGACATCTCTCCTCCCCCATCTCTGCTTGCTTGCTTGCTTGTTTAATCTCTTCTATATATCAAAAAGAGATTGACTTAAGACACATTCTACGCTAATACTGTCTCATTAACGTAACAAAGAAAACCCATTCACAAATGGGATTATAGTCGTTAAGATTTATAACACATATTTTGGGGGGACACAATTCAATCCATAACATTTATTGGTACAACATTAGATAAGAATGACTTTAACTGACCTACCACTATAACTTGTTACTTACTAGTGATTTGATGTCCCTCCTAATATCAATAATAATAATAATAATAAATCAACTGCTGTCAAGTCTACTCTGACTCGTAGCAATCCTATAGGACAGAGTAGAACTGCCCCATAGCGTTTCCAAGGAGCGGACGGTGGATTCAAACTGCTGACCGTTTGGTTAGCAGCCAAGCTCTTAACCAGTGCGCCACTGGGGCTCCAGTAATAGCTAATATTTACTGAATGTCTACCCTGGCCCAGACACTATTCTAAATTACTCATTTAATCCTCACCATGACTGTATTCGTGTCCTAGGGATCCCATAATAAATTACCACAAACTGTGTGACACAGAGGTTAAGTGTTCAGCTGCTAACCAAAAGGTTGACAGTTCAAATCCACCAGCCTCACCTTGGAAACCCTACGGGGCAGTTCTGCTCTTACAGGGTCACTATGAGTCAGAATCAACTTGACAGCAACAGGTTTGGTTTTGGTTTATGTGACTTAAAACAAGAGAAATTTATTCTCTTACAGTTAAGGAGGATACAAGTCCAAAATCAAGGTGTTGGGAAGGCCATGTTCCCTCCAAAGGCTCTAGGGAAGAATCCTCCCTTGCCTCTTCATAGCTTCTGGTGGTTACCACAATCCTGTACTGTATCTGATACCCTAGTGTATTTTGATACCCTTGGATCCCTTGACTTGCATCGCTCCAGTCTCTGCCTCCATCACCACATGGCTTTCTTCCTGTGTATATCTGTGTCTCCAAATCTCCCTCTCCTTTCTCTTGTTAAGACACCAGTCACTGTATTATGGCCCAGTCTAATATGACCTCATCTTAACTCAATTACATCCATAAAGACCCTATTTCCAAATAAGCTCATGTTCACATGTACTGGGGGTTAGGATTTGAACATAACTTTTTGGGACACAGTTTAACCCACAATAACCACTCTGTGAGGTAGGTAACTATTTTGTATTTGTTATGAGAAATCACTTTGAAGTAAATGATGAAATCATACCATCTTAATAGGAACTTGGATATTATATGATTTGGATATAAATATTCTCCATCCCTATCCCTCTAGACATTTAGGGAAGCACAGCAGGTTAATTCATATTCACTTTTATAGGAACTTTCCTCAGTTGTCCTGAACTCTGTCTTTTCCACTAGGGTAGTAGAAGCCATCTTTGCATTTTAAGGCTCTTTAAATTATTAAGGGTGAAAAAGAATATGAGATTACCATAAAACACATAAAAGTGAAGAAACTCCACCATTCACAAAAATGAATGCTGTGTCTCCTATTGATTTGGAGTAGTTCTCTATGTCTTATAGATACGAATACTACGCTGAATATACGAATCTCAATTTTCTTCTTCCACTCTTTGATTTGTGTTTTCACTACCTTAATAGTGGCTTCTGAATCCTTAAAACGATTCTTCATTTTAATGTGATCTCTAATTTATCCTTTTTTCCTTGATGATTAGGTTTTTGTGTGTCCAGATAGAAAAATTTCAGTGTATTCCAAGGCCACAAAGAAAACCTCAGGTTTTCCTCTAAAAGAATTGTTAGATACCTTTCACATTTAGATCTGCAATGCATCTGGAATTGATTTCTGTGTGTGGTGTAGGTGGGCTCAAGATTTTTTTCTCTTATGGAGACCCAATTGCCTTAGCGCCATATATTGAAAGAACCGTCCTTTCCCCAGCACACTTCAGTATCACTTTGTCCTTAATCACGTGTCTGTATACGTATGAGGCTGTTTCCGGACTCTGTTCTATTATTAGTCTGTTTGTACTTGCATGAATATCTCATGGCTTTAACAATTCTGACTTTAAGTTTCAGTATTTGGTAGTGAAAGTTGTCTAGCTTTGTTCTTTCAGATTGCCTTGGCTATTCTTGGCCCTTTGCATTTCCATATAAATTTCAAAATTACCTTGTCATTCTCTCCTCATCCCAAAATGGATGAAATTTTTATTGGAATAGCATTTAATCCATAATTAAATTTGAGCAGAATTAATATCTTTATAATATTGAGCTATCCAATCCATGAATATGATACATCTCTCCTTTATTTAGGTCTTCTCTTTCTCAACGTTTTCTAGTTTTCACTGTAGCAGCATTCCACATCTTTCCTTAGATTTATCTTAGGTATTTCTTTTTCTGCTTTGAATATGGTAACTTTTTTCATTTTCTATTTGTTTATGGTATACATACCATTAATTTTTGTATATTGATCTTATATCCACCAACAGTACTAAATTTACTTACTGTCAGTTTGTAGATTCTTTTGGGTTTTCTACATCTCTAATGATGTCATATTGCTCCCTGGGTGGTGTAAACGGTTTGTGCTCAACTACTAACTGAAAGATTGGCAGTTCAAACCCACCCAGCAGCTCTGCAGAAGGCCTGCTTCCATAAAGATTATAGCCAAGAAAACCCTATGGAGCTCAGTTCTACTCTGTAACACATGGGGTTGCCATGAGTCAGAACTCACTCAATGGCAATGGGTTTTTTTTTGTTTGTTTGTTTGTTTGTTTCTTCTTGTTTTTTTAATGATGGCATGTATAAATAAGGACAGTTAATTACTTCCTTTCCAGTTCTTAGGCATTTTATTTCTTTTTTCTTTCTTAACTGCACTGGCTAGCAGCTCCAGCATAATGTTGAATAAAAGTTAGAACAGGCATCATTTTCTGGTCCTTGATCTGGGGAACACTTTCAATAGTTCACCATTTGGTATTAGGCTTGCAGAAGGGTTTTTTTTTTTTTTTTTGTGAAATCTTAATCATATTAAGAAAGTTACCTCTTATTCCTAATGTACTAAGATTTTTCTATCATGAATAGATGGTCAGTTTTATCAAGTACTTTTTCTGTATCAAGATGATTATACCTAAAATGTGGAAGTGGTTTTGGAATTGGATAATGGGTAGAGGCTGGAGGAATGTTGATGCACTTGACTGTAAGAGCCTAGATTGCCTTCTAGAGGCTGTTAGTAGAATTATGGATATTAAGCGTGATTCTGATGAAGATTCAGAAAGTAATGATAAATCCTATAGAGAAAGCTTCTGTTGTCATGGATAGAATGTTGCTAGAAATGTGGGCATTATATGTACTTCTGGTAAGGCTTTAAATGGAAATAATGAACATGTTATTGGACACCAAAGGAAAGGTGACCCCTGTTATAAAGTGGCAAAAAAAACTTCTCTGAATTATATTCAAATGTTTGGTAGATGGTAAAGTTTTTAAATGATGAACTTAGATATTTAGCTGAGGATATTTCTAAGTGAAATCTTGAAAATAAAACATGTTTTTTCCTTTTCGCTTATAGTAA